GACTTGACAATTAAACAGGCAGGACATAGAAAAAAATACAATCAGCAAGTAAAAGGAGCAGAAAGAGACTGAGAGATGACCATAGCAATGTATAAAGAAGCACACTTATGAGAGCAATAGATGATATTGTTAGCAAACCGGTAACATGGCATGCTGTGAGAGAGAGAGAGAGGCAGCCAGGTATCACAGACAGGTATCACAGACAGGTGGGTAATGATGATATCAAAGAATCCATGAGGGACACAGTCTGACAGGTGAGACTAATGAAGACATTCACAAGACAGACAGAAATGGTCAGAGAGGGACAAGATCAGGAATGGTGAGCAGAGACAGACAGGTAACATACATGAGAAATACAGAAAGACAGATGAAAAAAAAAATAAAAGGGTAAAATACAGAGATTGTGAGTGAAATGAACAGGATGAATGACAGACGGACAGGTGAGAGCCAGAGATGGCAGGGTACAGGGAGAGCGGTCGGTGGAGTGGAAAGGAATAAAACAGGAGACTGCAAGAGATGGTGCTGTGCTGAGCTGCCTGCAGAAGCTGCTGTCAGTGCGCTGTGTCCTGCGATGCTGTTTGGTGCAGTGAGATTTGCTGTCCCTGTGAGGGGTGGGCTTGCCTGATCCCCCAGCACAGACCCTTCAGCTAGTCCAGGCACTGAGCGTGGGGCCCAAGCTATCCTGACACATGCTCACTGGCAGCAGGTCCCTCTCGGTGCAGAGTCAAGGTGGGATGGTGGAATGATCCCACTGCAGTGAATGGATGGAGGGAGGAGGATCCTGGCTGTGATGCGTCATCTCCCCTCACCCCCTTCCCCTCTCTTTCCACTGCCTGACTGCTGAGGACAATCTCTTCAGCTCTCTGTATTTAACTCTCTCAACCGGACGTCACAAGAAAAAAAAACCAAAACAAAACAAAACAAAACATGCTCGTTATCGCTCCGAGAGGCCAACAAGAATTGGTGTGCAAGGAAAAAAAAAAAATGTGTGTAATAAATAACTAAATATATATATATATATTTTATTATTACTATTATACAGGATTTATATAGCGCCAACAGTTTGCTCAGCGCTTTACAATATGTATATATATATTTTTTTTTTTTTCTTTTATATTGCTCACTCACTCTACTAACTACTGTCTTTTACTTTCTTTTTTTTTTTTTTTTTGTCTCCTGTCCATTATTCTTCAACTCCGGCTCTATAGTCTCTCATTTATCTATACAGTCCCTCCCTCAGCTCATTCTTTTACTATGAACTTTTCCTGGGTTCCCTTTCCACTCAAAAAAAAAAAAAAAAAAAAATATATATATTATATATATATATATATATATATATACACATTTTTAAATAAATTTTATCACCTTGCTTGTGAATGACTTAGGATTTTAAATGGGCTTTGTCTTCAAACTAAATAACTTTTACTTCCATTTTTTTATTCTCAAGACACACACACACACACACACACACACACACACACACACACACACACACACACACACACACACACACACACACACACACACACACACACACACACACACACACACACACACACACACACACACACACACACACACACACACACACACACACACACACACACACACACACACACACACACACACACACTGTGTATATATTCTACTTTTATATTTTTTTCTTTCTTTACTATTGCTCACTCATTCTACCAATGACTATCTTTTAGGGCCCTTTCACACGGGGTGGACTCTGCTTGCAATCCGCTTGCTCAGCACTGGATCTGTCCACTGATCCCCGCTGAGCAGGCGGATGACAGGGTCGACACAGGACACAGGCCTCTCTCCCCTATTGGTGGTCAGATGTAAACGGACCACCTATTTGTTTACATCTGACTGCCATTTGATCCAATGGACGGAAGGGGAATGGATCCCCATCCATCTGTTTTTAGCAGATCAGATTGGATGTAGGTGGGTGTAAACAGACACATGTCCATTTACACCCACTGCTCCATAGAGGAGAATAGAGGTTCTGATCGGGTCCTCCTGAAAAACGGACAGGCAGACCTGGTGTGAAAGGGGCCTTAGGGTCAGTTCACACTATAGAAACGCAGTCCAGATGCTTTTCTGCATGTACATTTCTGGAGCGTTCCGGTGCGTTTTTATGTGTTTTTTATGCATTTCAGTTCATTTTTTCTCTAATTTAAATAGGGACATGTGCATTACGGTGCATTTTTGATGCATTTTACTGCGTCCCAGTGCAGTTCTATACAGGAAAATGCAGCCTGTTCTACTTCGTTTCTGCAACTGGAATGCACTGGAACTGCAAGCACTGATGTGAACTATAACATTGACAACAATATAACCTATTTTCTGTGCGTTTTTGATGCAGAAAAAAAGCAACTGAAACGCATGTAGTGTGAACTGGCTCTAACTCTTTCTTGTTTCTTGTCTTGTTCTTTAATCCTGCTGTTTCTTACACGTCTTGTTGCCCCAGGCTCTATAGTCCCTTCCTCAGTTCATTCTTTTGTTGGAACTTCTTGTTGTTGAACTTTTCTTGGTCTGCACCCCTCCCCCCACCCCACCCTCAAAAAATGTCTTGTGAACGACTTGGGATCGGTTCACACTAGTGCTGGTGGAAGCCTCAGCAGGACCCACACTATGTCCCAAAGCTGAGACCACCTGCTCACAAAACATGGGACCCCCTGGCGGGTGTCATTCATCCTAATGGCACATCACCTGCACTGGAAATCACACCCATACTGGGAACCGTAGGGACTTTGTTACCAAACTAAATACTTTTAACTTAACCCACAACTGCTCCTAACTGCTAAAACCAATGGCCACTACTCCGTACTCTTACTACTTGACCTCTCTGCAGCTTTTGATACGGTTGACCATCCCCTCCTCCTCAAAAAACTCCACTCTCTTGGCCTCAGAACTCTGCTCTCTCCTGGTTCTCCTCCTATCTATCACAGCGCTCCTTCAGTGTTACCTATAACGCTGCCTCCTCCTCTTCACTCCCTCTCTCTGTAGGGGTCCCTCAAGGTTCTGTCCTTGGACCCCTTCTCTTCTCCATCTACACCTCCTCCCTTGGTCACTTGATAAACTCCAATGGCTTTAAATACCATCTCTATGCTGATGACACACAAATCTATCTTTCTACCCCCCACCTCACCCCTTCAGTCTCCTCTCGCATTACTAACCTACTAAGTGACATATCAGCATGAATGTCACTCCACTTCCTCAAACTCAATCTTTCCAAAACTGAGCTCTTAGTATTCCCTCCAGCCCGTGCCCCCTCCCCCCGACTTCTCTATCAAGATCAATAACACAATCATCAGTTCCTCCCCTCATGCCAGGGTACTAGGTGTAATCCTAGACTCCCATCTGTCCTTCCAGCCCCAAATCCAATCGCTGACAAAATCTTGTAGACTTCACCTCCGCAACATCTCCAAGATACGCCCGTTCCTAACCTCGGAAACTACTAAGCAACTTATTCACTCCCTTGTTATATCTCGCCTTGACTATTGTAACTCCCTCCTCATTGGCCAACCTCATCGCAGGCTATCCCCTCTTCAGTCTATCATTAATGCTGCTCCCAGACGTATCCACCTTACTAACCGTTCTGTATCTGCCATCCCTCTCTGCCAATCCCTCCACTGGCCTCCACTCAGTGTCCTCCACCCCTCTCTGCCAATCCCTCCACTGGCTTCCCGTTGCCCAACGGATAAAATTCAAAACACTAACAATAACATATAATGCCATTTATAACTCTGCCCAAAATTACATCACCGATCTTGTCTCCAAATATCACCCAAACCGTACTCTCCGCTCCTCGCAAGACCTCCTACTCTCTAGCTCCCTTATCTACTCCTCCCATGCTCATCTCCAGGACTTTTCCAGAGCTTCCCCCATCCTCTGGAACTCTCTACCCCAATTTATCAGACTATCGCCTACTCTGCTCACTTTTAGGCGATCTCTGAAAACCTATCTCTTCAGGGAAGTCTATCCTGCCCTCAGCTAATAATGGAATCTTCTACTCTTCCAACCAGTCCATCCCCCACAGTTACTACCTTTTGTACCACTAGCCCCTCCCTCCTAGATTGTAAGCTCCCAGGATCAGGCCCTCCTTTCCCTCTTGTATTGAACTGTATTTTTGCTGTATTGTCTCCCGTTCTATTGTAAAGTGCTGAGCAAACTGTTGGCGCCATAAAATCCTGTATAAATAATAAACTGCCATTTTTATTCACAGGCAATATACTATATCTTAGAAAGGGAAGATGAGTTTTTATAGCTTCCCTACAGGTGAATCTACTGTCCCAGAATGACAGAAAACCTGTACTGTCAGAAATTTGGAGGCTATCATAGCTGGCCTCCTACTTCAAATTCTAGATGCAAGACTGTCATGCCGATACTCTGGCTTCAGCACTGTCTGACGTCACTACTTGTTACATATTTTTCTGGCTCAGTGACTAAAAACCGCTTAAAAGAAACTGGTTTAAGATTAGAGACAGCCAGGCAACACACTTTTTCAAGAGCAATGGCAGCTTTCATATTCCTCCCTGGACAGGTTTTCTTTAAATGTAACCTACGAGTCATAGAACAACAGCTTCAGTCAAGTGCTTCTCACACAGGAATCCAGCTTTATCACACATCTCATTATAATGTTTATTTTGGAACAACTGCATTATGCTCGGATAATATATTGGTTTTAATAGAACTTGCCATTCAGCAAAAAAAGAAAAATGTGTAAATCATTTCAGCACCATGGAAAGCAGTGAATGCAGAACAATAACAGCCAATGGATTCAGCACATATTCTTTGAGCTCCAGTCTTTGTAGATCAGCATTATATATCTTATAGTTTTCAGCATCAGTACTGAACTCTGAAAGATTTGGCAGGCGTACTAAACATTAACCGGCTCATAAGCTCTGCTATCCAGGAAATGCAGCCTGGCACAAACATAAATTGTATCTAAACCCAAGAACAAATGTTTAAAGTGTTACTAAACCCCGGACCCTGCATTCGCTATATCTGGTCTCCCCGGACCCTGCATTCACTATATCTGGTCTCCCCGGACCCTGCATTTGCTATATCTGGTCTCCCCGGACCCTGCATTCACTATATCTGGTCTCCCCAGACCCTGCATTCACTATATCTGGTCTCCCCGGACCCTGCATACACTATATCTGGTCTCCCCAGACCCTGCATTCACTATATCTGGTCTCCCCGGACCCTGCATACACTATATCTGGTCTCCCAGGACCCTGCATTCACTATATCTGGTCTCCCAGGACCCTGCATTCACTATATCTGGTCTCCCCGGACCCTGCATTCGCTATATCTGGTCTCCCCGGACCCTGCATTCACTATATCTGGTCTCCCCGGACCCTGCATTCACTATATCTGGTCTCCCCGGACCCTGCATACACTATATCTGGTCTCCCCAGACCCTGCATTGACTATATCTCTGGTCTCCCCAGACCCTGCATTCACTATATCTGGTCTCTCCACACCCTGCATACGCTATATCTGGTCTCCCCGGATCCTGCATTCACTATATCCGCTCTCCCCGGACCCTGCATTCACTATATCCGGTCTCCCCGGACCCTGCATACACTATATCTGGTTTCCCCTGGACCCTGCATTCACTATATCTGGTCTCCCCAGACCCTGCATTCACTATATCCGTTCTCCCCAGGACCCTGCATTCACTATATCTGGTCTCTCAGAAACCTGCAAACACTATATCTGGTCTCCCCAGACCCTGCATTCACTATATCTGGTCTCCCTGGATCCCGCATTCACTATATCTGGTCTCCCCAAAACCCTGCATTCACTATATCTGGTCTCCCCAGACCCTGCATTCACTATATCTGGACCCCCTGGACCCTGCATTCACTATATCCGCTCTCCCCTGACCCTGTATTCACTATATCTGCTCTCCCTAGGACCCTGCATTCACTCTATCTGGTCTCCCACAGTACACAGAACATGGAAATGCAAATATTTTAGTAAATAGAAACTGCTAAATACCTTTTCTCATCAGCAGTATATAGCAGTCTTGTGACTTCTATCAGTGTCCGGCACAGCAATGATTACAGCTTGTAGGAGGAGTTTTAATCCTCCCTGTATCAGGATATAGGACCTCTGACTTCTGTCTATACTGATCCCATGCACTCTCCCAAGAAAAAAATCAACTCTCTAGCAATGCATACTAAACTGAGCATGTGCAGCTTGCCTCTAGCCTCTGTTCTATCGGGAGATATTTGGGAGACACTGGAAGAAGGGGAGAATCAGAGAAGAGGGGATCAAATGTCCTTTTTACACAATGTGGAGGATTAACCCCTTAGGTTCCTCATCAGCCGTTAGAGCAGTCTTGGGACTTCTATCAGTGTTCAGCAGAGTACATGTTAAAGCTTGTAGGAGGAGTTTTCTTTCTGCTCTAGGAAGATGCAGGACCCCTGACCTCTGTCTGGATATTGCTGATTGGCCCTGTGCTGATCACATGAACTCTCCCAAGAAAAAAAAACTCTCCAGCAATACACACCAAACTGAGATGTGCAGAGTGTCTCTACATGACATGTTTTATCAGGAGATAAGAGGGGGACACTGGAAGAAGGGGAGGATATGAGAAGACAGGATCAAACAGCATTTTTACACAATGCAGAGGATTTACCTCTTCGGTTCCGCAGTGAGTATATCAAGCATGCTTTACTGCATATATATATACACATACTGACTTTACTGTTGTTGGTTTAGTATCACTTTATAGTTAAAAAAAAGGCAACATTTTTTTTGGAGTAAGGTAGGGTTCTAATTCCTGTCTGGGTCTTTTTTGGCATCTGTGTCCTGTTTGGGAGATGTCCCTTCATTTCCTGTCCCATAGCCAAAACAGGAAGTGAGAGGAGATCCCTCAAAAGCCAGGATGACCCTGGTTGTCACCAGAACTAGTATCCCCATTGGAAGATTTATCTATCTATATTCTAATGACAATCCAAACGTAGGACTTTCTTTCACTTTGACTCTCAGTGATAATGGTAAACAGGACAAATGGAGAGGGAGAAGCTCCCAAACTAGGACACAGACAGCAATACAAACTGACAGGTGTTCTAATCCCTCTCCACTCTATCCAAAACTAAAAAGTTTTGATTTTAGTTATATAATAATATATTGAAGTTTTCGGGTCTTTAGATGCGGTGGCTGCATTATTTTTTTTTGTTTTTTACCTTTTGTTTTCACCTGTTGATCCTGCAAGTATCACAATTCCTGTCCTAAGGTGACAACACTTACTGTGATGTATCCATCAAGGAGCATAACTGTGCCCCAGGCCAAAAAAGATGTTCGACTACAGAATACATCTCCATAACATAAGGGGGAGGTGTTCTGCAGTTCAGAGAGAACTCAGCGGAGCTAATAAGTCTGCTTGGGATAAAACTGCAGAGTGCACAGGGCAACGCTGGATTACTGGTAAGACTAACAGGTATAAAATGATATAACAAAAGGCTTTCAATTGTATATTCAACAGACCAAAAAGAAGAAAATATGACATGCTGGGAGGTTAATTGGCTCCTGTCTAGATTGGCCCTAGTATGTGTATGTATGAATGTGAGTTAGGGACCTTAGATTGTACACCCCTCGAGGGTTAGGGACTGATGTGAATATAAATATATATGTAAAGCGCTGCATAAATTGACGGCGCTATATAATAATAAACAAATAAAGACATAAATGAGAAGTTCATTGTTGGAGCAGGGGAAAGGAATCATTCCAGGTGCTGCACATTGAACAAGGCTACCATTCACTTCCAAGCTCCTTGAGCGCCTGGCTACAATCGCCTAAGCGCCCACCTCACTGATAACAACCTCCTTGATCCACTACAGTCCGGCCTCCGTCCCCTACACTCCACCGAAACCGCCCTACTCAAAATCACCAACGACCTGCTAACTGCCAAAGCTAATGGCCATTACTCAGTCCTCCTGCTCCTTGACCTCTCGCGGCCTTCGACACAGTCGACCACCCTCTCCTCCTTACTAAACTGCACTCCCTTGGCATCAGGGACGCTGCTCTCTCCTGGTTCTCCTCCTACCTATCCCAACGCTCCTTCAGCGTCACCTATAACACTGCCACCTCCCCCTCTCTCCCCCTCTCTGTTGGAGTCCCCCAAGGCTCTGTCCTCGGAACCCTCCTCTTCTCCATCTACACCTCCTCCTCCCTTGGCAAACTAATACACTCCACGGCTTCAATTACCACCTCTATGCCAACGACACACAAATTTACCTCTCCACCCCCCACCTCACCCCCTCACTCCTCCGCCCGCATCGCCTACCTCCTAAATGACATGTCAGACTGGATGTCACTCCATTTCCTCAAATTAAACCTGTCCAAAACCGAGCGCCCTGGTCTTCCCCCCAGCCCACGCCCCCCCCCATCCTCTCCATCACTACTAGCAACGCCACCATCACTCCCACCCCACATGCCAAAGTCCTGGGTGTCACCCTGGACTCAAACCTTTCCTTCCAACCTCACGTCCAATCACTATCAAGGTCATGTATGCTCCACATCTGCAACATCTCCAAAATACGTAACATTCCTCACCCCAGACACTACTAAAAAACTCGTACACTCCCTCATCATCTCACGCCTGGACTACTGCAACTCCCTTCTCACCGGCCTACCCAAACAAACGCTATCCCCACTCCAGTCGATCCTGAACTCAGCGGCGAGACTCATCCACCTCACCAACCGCTCCACATCTGCCATCCCCCTTCTGCCAATCCACTGGCTCCCGATTGCCCAGCGCATCAAAATCAAATTGCTAACTCTGACCTTCAAAGCCATTCACAACGCCGCCCCAAACTACCTAACCGACCTGATACCCAAATACCACCCTACCCGGGCCCTTTGCTCCTCACAGAACCTCTCTACCTCTAGCTCCCTGATCTCCTCCTCCCACGCCCGATTGCAGGACTTCTCCAGGACTTCCCCATCCTCTGGAACTCCCTACCCCAATCCATCAGACTGTCACCTACCCTCCTCACCTTCAGGCGCACCCTGAAAACCCATCTCTTCAGGGAAGCCTACCCCACCCTCACCTAACAACTGATCTCCTCCACTTCTCCCACCACTCCATCCCCCACAGCCATTTCCTCCTGTACCACCTTCCCCTCCCTCCTAGATTGTAAGCTCGAAAGAGCAGGGCCCTTGAACCCCTCGTGTATTGTATTGTTACTGTCTTGTCTCATGTTCTGTCCCCCTTGCTATTGTACAGCGCTGAGTAAACCCTTTGGCGCTATATAAATTCTGTATAATAATAATAAGGTAACAATAGTAAAAGCAGATTCAGCCCAGACTCCATCCAGGCCACGCCTCTACGCGTTATGCCCTCTACACGTTTATTCATGACTAGGCCCAGTGTGCGAGTCAAAAAGCTTCGGGGGTGTGGCTTGGATGGCGTCTGGGTTGAGGCTGCTTTTAATATTGTTATTCTTGGGTCTTGTTGGCACCTGGAATGATGCCTTTTCCCTTGCTTGTACTTATTGAGCCAAGACGAGCTCCTTCCTAGCCTGCACTCCCAGCATCAACCCCTATGATTATGTGCTATTGCATGAAACGCTTCAGGGAGGAGCTACAGTGCAGTGATGGCATGCCACGTGGGTCCCGGCGGCCATCTCGATGCTTTGTTATCTGGTCAGTAATGTTTACCTCCTTTACATATCTGCTTGCTGGATGTTAAATAAACGTGATTCCTTGAAACAATATCACGTTATTGGCCTCCTTTTCTGGGCCTCTATGTGAGCTTCCCACCACCCACAGAGCCACTTGAGGGAAGGTTTGAGCCATGGCAGATGGCTGATTGAGCAGTGAGGAACAACAGACCAGGCCAGGAGCTTTCAACGGTTCCACTAAGAGTGTTATCTCTTAAATGCGCTTACTGATTGCGCATCTGGTGATTGCGCAGTCTTTATAGTCTTTATAGTTTTGGATATACCACCACTTACTGGACGCTAATACCAGTTGTCGGAAATCCTTGAGATCTTCCATGCACCTCATATACTGGGATTGATTCACGCTTAACTTTGGACTATACGTTTCCCTCATCACTATATATGCACGTGTGGTCAGGAAGGAATAACGCATATACTTTACATAGAGATCACTTTGCACTTTCTTTATTGCACTTCTTTTGTCACGCATAGTGA